CCCCCCCCCCCCCTAAAAAGTGTCACGTGATTAATGGACGCCCCCTGAGACTAATACGTCGGAATGAAGTAGTGAATAAGATAAACTGAACTGATTTCCTGAGTAATTTTCGTGTAAACTTTTTTTGTGAGTCCTACAGAAATGTCTTCATGGAAATGCACCTGTCCCTCTAACATCCAAAAATATTCAGTAGTAATACTCCAAGAGCTTCAAAATTATCTGGCATTTGTTTGCAGAGGAGCTTGAGGGAAATACCCGATCAATTTTGACGCTCGAGGGGTATTTGTCGGATTATTTTTCCCAATCGGATTTTGGCCAATCAGAGTGCAGTGGAGAACATCAAGAGGTGAATTAAGCAAGATTTGAACAAATTATGTTAGTAGAATAACCCAATTTTCGTAGACTATCAAATGCAAGATACGATTTGAAATAAGCCGAAAAAATGAAGAGCTACTGCGAAATGTCCAAAAGCTAGGAGAAAATATCCGAAATGAAACGGTCGGGAAGCCTCAAATCCTGCGCTGTGATTGGTCGAAATTCGATTGGGAAAAATAGTCATCAGAAACTTATTTCAAAATTGAGTGAAGTTATCTCATTCTACCATTTCTCTACTGAATGATATGAATTGCGTCCTCAATGTGAGGTGAATCAGAAATTCATTTATGTCGCGCCGTGCAATAAGTCGAGTTTATCGCACGCTGCGCTTCGCGCAGCCTGCTCAAAACTCGACTTCTGCACGACTTGACATAAAATATTATAGAGCACTCGGTAATAAATTTCGTTTTCAACGAATGTGTAGTTTACAGGCCGAGCCGAAGGCGAGAACAAAATTTGTGCCCTTGTACTCTAATGTACTATTTTATGGAAGTGGAAGAACTGCAACGGAATCATATTGCTTATTCAAGATGGAAAAGTTATCAACCCGTTTACTTCATTATTTTAATTCTTATCCAAGAGCTGATAAGCCTGGAAGCTCAGCTATAATATTCCGAGAGGAAGCCTTAAAATGAGTTGAAATATAACATCCCATAATCGACCCATTTTACCAACGAATTTCTTTTTTTGCGAAAGAACTCTGAACTCATAATGACAAAATTTATCAATCTACTTAATGACAAGAATCAATATTGAGCAAACTTAACCCTCCTATAGTCGCACGTCTTCGGCGAACGTCCTTGGTTGCATGGTATAGGCTATTCAGTAGAAGTTTATCCTTCCGAGGGTACCCCCACTTTACGTAATTCCCACTCGCATGCTTGGACCCCACTCCAGAATCCACGGATATTCTTCTTAGTCCATACGCAATACCCCTTTCCCGTGGTCACTAGGAGGTCGATGGAATTTTATCATTAGATTTTATGTTTTTGGGGGTGAGGAATCCGGATATGTTGTTTATTTTGTCCTCCCGTCGCGCAATAATTTGTTATAAACAAATTAGTCCCCATTTTTAGTGAATAAATGTTCTTCCGGGAAAACAAAGAGAGATACAGAAAAATTGTTCCAACAAAAGTTATTCCTCTTTCTTTCACCAATGAAATAATTTTTGACTCGTCGAAATCGGTCCAATACTTCCCGAGATACAGGCTAAAGAGTGAGCGCGGGTGGATAGACTAAAAATGCGTTTTGGCATACCTCAACTCCATAATTTTTTAATTGAACATGATGAAGTCCAAGGACAAACACGTCAGGGTCACAAGATGAAACTATGATCTTTTTTCGTTGTTTTAGAGCTGACAGGAGATTTTAAAAATGTACAATTCAAAGCATTTCCAAAACCATGGATCGAAACATGGTAAAGGAAGGCACTGATCACGATTTACACATTGTTGAACATCATATATTTATAAAATTTATTCAGCGCAGTGCAGTATGCAAACACAAACGATATTCGGTTAGATACACTGCTCCGCGCCCATACTCACCTGTCGTCCGCGCAGTCTATCCACTCGCGCTCACTCTTTAGCCTGTACCTCGGGAAGTATTGGATCGATTTCGACGAGTCAAAAATCATTGTATTGGTGAAATAAAGAGGAATAACTTTTGTTTGAATAATTTTTGTGTATCTCTCTTCGTTTTCCCAAAAGAACATTTATTCACTAAAAATGGGGACTAATTTGTTTATAACAAATGATTGCGCGACGGGAGGACAAAATAAATAACATATTCGGATTCCTCACTCCCAAAAACATAAAATCCAATGATAAAATTCCATCGACCTCTTAGTGACCACGGGAAGGGGGTATTGCGTTTCGAGATATTCAATGAAAAATATTTTGAATATTGTTAATTTTTCATTGAATATCTCGGAAACTTTGGAGAATAGCAAAATTTTTGTCAAAACCATTTTTATAGAGCAAATAAAGATCTACAAAAAAGTTTATAATGAAAATTTGACTACTAGCCACAGATTCAGAGATATTCATCAAAAATCCAGCGGAGGGCTATTGCGTTGAGCGCAGCAGGAGGTTTGAATAAGTTGCGCATGGCGCCAATCACGTGACTCACGGCACTGTCGCAGGGAGGGTAACAGCTGACGCGTTGCGCCGACTGCTCCGAAATTGCTATTGTAATTTATAATAAATTAACGGTACATTTTGGGCTATAGGTTCCTAACTCTCCCCGATAGGACATTTTCTCAGCTACAAAGAAATATTTTTTTTTCCCCATCTGATGAGGTTAACTAAAGATATCTAGGATTGAAGACGACGGCCTGTCGGCAATTCCCAATTGTTTATAACAAATTGTGAATCATCCCGGCAAATTTGAGCATATACTTTTTAAAACATTAATAATTACACGTTTAGCTATCGATTGGTGTAATTTGGTGCCCTTTGGTTAATTTCGATGTAAACGACATTTTCAGAGTTAGTTTGACTGGACTATAAGCGCTGCGCCGTCCATACATTCTCGAGCGTAGCGTTGCCAGAGCCATACGACACTATAGGGATATCACCGGCCAGCGATCCACCTACTTCGCACACGCTGCTTGGGACTACCACGAGGATTGGCAACACCGCTCGTCAAATTTCCACTACGAGAGTGGTCGCAAGGGTGAGCGCTGCGTTCATTCTCGATAACCGTGCTCGACAAAAAAATTAATTGAGAAAAAAATTGTCAGTGCAGGGCAACCCTACCGTGTTTAATCTCATTAGGACATCATTTGAGGAACTCGTAAATAGGCAGAGCGTTATTCATCACATTTCTAGAGATATCGTGAAAATAACAAAAACGGCGGCTTTCAAACCATAGCGCGACCACTGGAGGGTTAATAAATGAGTTTTAGAAAAAACAACGGCAAATGCTTTCCGTTTATATTGATTCTACTGAGCCGCTGGTGAATAAAAACGAGTTTCAAGCGACGAGCGAGAGGCTAACAACTGCACGATCGAGTGACATCATGATTGGACAATGCAGTCAATTTCATCTAATGTAATCAGTGATTTCAATGTTTGCATCGAATATATGACTTCACTAACTGTATTAAAATCATGATTTCATTAACTCCATTTAAAAAAATCTATGATTTCTACATAATTAATCCTTCAAGTAAGGCGTCCATGCCACATATGGACCCGAGAGCTTGTCCTATCGGCCGGCATCCATATGCCATACGGATCCTTTCCGTGATTAATAAAAATTCATTATCTTTCGTACTATCGTAGATATCGAAGTTCTAAAAATTTCTCCATGAAGACACGTGTGGATTATGTTTCAAACGTAATCTTGGTTGTTTTTTTTAGTTTGATAATCTGAAATGATCTCCAATTGCTATTCAGTTTTGCATAGCCCTGGAGTCTCCAAAAATTATGATTGTACAATCAAAAAAACGTTGAAAAAAAGCTGAACATTTTCAAAGAGCGTTTTTGAATAATAGTGAGAAAAAATAAACTCAATAGGGAGGAAATTGCAAATTAATGATTTGATGTATCTAATGGCTGTTAGGTCGTCATTTGTCACAGTAGTCAATGGCTGTCATATCATTAGTTACCATGATAAATTGTCCATTCACTATTCCCGCTGTATCGGACATATTTCTTAATTTTTAGTAAAAACGCTCTTTGAAAATGTCCCGTTTTTTTCTTTGTACTGTACTTTTACAGTACTTTTTTGTACTGTCCAATCATAATTTTTAGGAACTCCTGCGTGATGTAAAATCCAATGGAAATTGTGATGTATTTTACATTATGAATATGAAAAAACAATTGAGATAACGTTTGAAAGATAATCCACTCGGGCCTGAAATAGATGAAATTATCAACACAATGCGACTCGATTTTTTTTTCAAGTTATTTTTAATATTTTTCTTCAATACATAAGGATTACGGAACTGAATTCGATGCCGGATGCATATTCAAATCTCTCGTTTAAACAGATAATTTTTATCAAAAATTTGGAAATTTATCGCACATACTTTATTTATTCCTTTGTCAAATGGCGCAAACAAAATTTAGATTCAATGAATTACTGATTTGTTATTGACAAATTTTCGACAATCGCCGATCTTAGCAACTGTTTGTACTTCAAACTGAGATTGGTTTTAAAGATACCAGAAAAATCTGTATAAAGGAATACCGCATTCGAACAACTTTTTGGTGAAAGCTCAAGATTATCATTAAATTTAAATTGATAATTTTTTTATCATCATTATAGAAATTGTCGCATATTGAACAGCGAATTCGAGTTGACACCGCGATATGGAAGCCGTACTTGAGGGGTTAAAGTCAGCGAAATCTCGCTGAGCCAAAATCTAAAAAATTGGGATCAAGCACTTGCTCATCAAAACGACGGATTTTATCATTATAGAACACTTATAAATGTTTAATATCTACATAGCCCTGAGACGTCATTGTCTGCCGCAGTAACGTATTTGATTCTTTTCTTCAAATTTTACCGATAGTACAAAACACCTACATCTTGTTTATTACCATCAGTACCAGAATGAACCATAAAATTCTCCACTTTTTAAAATTTTCTCTCTTGCATACTTCATGTTCAGGATTATTGACCCCTCACGTATGTGGTCGATACCGTGTATCGACCCATGGAAATGTAATGACCCATGAAAATGACTTTGCAAAATGGATCATTTCCAAATCTATAGGAAGTAACTCAATCGAAGAAATGAAAATGAGAAAAGGAATACTGTAGCCTCAATTAAATGTCGATTTCATAATTTTCCACTGATTACACGTCATCGCATTCTAGGGGTATCGAACATATACCACGCTTAGCAACAAAAGGGCCCCGTCCGTGAGGAGTTAATACACTAAGAAAAAAATCGACATAATATCACAAAAATCATTTTTTGTCATTCCGGCCGTGAGGCAGCGCTTCACGGACGCTGCGCTCCCCTCCGCGTCCGTGAATCTCTGCCTACGGCCGTCATAACAAAAAATACTGTTCGTCATACGGCCAAAAAAAACTTTTCTAGCTCATATGATTGCAGCCCTCGCCTTCGGCTCGGGCTGCAAACTCATATTCGCCAGAAAAGTTTCTTTCGGCCTAGTGACGAAATATACTATTTTGAGTGAAAAACATCACATACATATTTGATTAATTTATGGTAGGTTTCAGACAAATAATCGGTGCTCTTCGGGCTAAGGAGGATGTTACTGAATGAAAAGATGTCTTTTTTCGAAATGAGATAATATTCCGTCAAAGACAAGAATAGTTTGACTGAAGGAAAAGAAGATATTGCTTCCCTTCGAACTCAACGCGACTGAGCGTAAGCGACGGTTATATTTTTTTAATATCTGGAGGTTTTCTCTGCTTTTCTCTCTGATTCGTGATTCACTAAATCGAAGCTTTTAATATTTGTAGTCATTTTCTCATCTTCTGACACGAAAAAACCGATTTCTTGTGGCGGGAAATTCTCACTTTATCATGAAATGTTTATGTTCAAGTCACGAACACTTCACCGAAATCTGACATTGTCTGACACATTATCCGGAATTCTTATCCCAAGAAATTTACACTCAAGAGATGAGATATTTGGCGCAAGAAATGAGTTTTGTGATATTATGACAATATTTCTCTCAGTGTATATATGTTTCGTAATAATTTGCATCAAAGAAACATTGAACTCCTAAAATTGTCAACATTATGCAAATCGATGCATAATGTTGACTCGTGATTTCTTAAATTCCAATGACTACAAATAATTTAATTGTGACTTTGAATTGATTTTATCGACAAGTGACACCATGATTTTCGAAGTTACCCCCTCGGCAATGACAGAAAGGTTGAAAGCTCTAAAAAAATATGAAATTCTTGGTCGCGGATTGTTACCGGTCGCAGTCACGATCCGACGTCCCAGGGGGGTTTTTCAGTCGTCACGTCCTGCCGGCTCTTCGCGAATTATAGATGTTCTCGTGTTCACCTTTCTTGGCCTTCCACGTTTTCCTTTGCCAATTAAACTCGATGACGTATGCTGGTGCTGTTGCTGGTGCGATCCACCAAGGCCAAGTGCCTTCCGTTTTGGCCACTGTAAGTGAGAGTCCAAGTGCTGTTTGAGTTTGTCTTGACGTGCAAACATACGTGGACAAAGACTGCAGGCAAACGGTCGCTCTCCAGTGTGAACTCGTCGATGTCGTGCAAGGTGAGAAGCTCGAGTGAACGCCAAAGTACAGAGATCACATGGGAACGGTTTATACTGTGCTTTATTCTTTGTCTGCGCTTTACGATCCTTCGAGGTACTTCCGGGGGTGGTTACCGTTTTATTGGAATCGGTATTGTCTCTGATTTCCGGTCTTTTCGGTATTTCTTCCATATTTACTTCGAGGGGTGAATTCTAAAAGGAAAATTGCATCAAGTTTCAGTCAGTGAAATCCATTATTCAGGTATTTGTCAATGAGGAAAATTTTACTTCGTACACACAGTGAAATGAATGATTCATTCCAGTAATTGTGCAATCGTTAAGTGCGGAAATTTAATAGGGAGTACTCCTGAGATTATTCATCGACAAAATTCTATTTCGAATTAGAATATACAGAATATTGGAGTATTGGAGATTTCATTTGGGTACTGCTTTGCATGAGTTTACTGGAAATTCATGTTATTTTCATTCATAACCGAATTTGATTTGCCGTTTTAAGGAATAAAATTTCGAAATGGTATAAAGACGCAATATTTGGATCATATGTTGTTGAGCACATTCAAAAACTATTCCCAAAATTTCAAGTACCTTGTCCACCCCATTTTCGAGATATACATCGTCAAAAATGGAAAAAACACAAAAATTGAATGTTTGGCGATGCATATCTCAAAAATGGGGTGGACCAGGGACTTGAAATTTTGAGAATATCTTTTTAATGTGGTCAACAACATATGATCCAAATATTGCGTCTTTATACCATTTCGAAATTTTCACCAAGTATACTTACTGCGGAAGTACCTTAAGGGGAGACTACTATGAGTCTTAAAAGTCGCGGGCTATTGGAGTGAGACTTTTCATGCACACGGAGAGAAATGTTCAATAAAAATTACGAAACTCACAATTCGCTCACCGGTTACGGAATCGACTCAGAAAATTTAAGTGACGGTATCGTAATTTTCCACAGGAGATTCAGATAAAAATTACGGAACGCTCTGGAAAAATTTCGTGACAGTTATCCGTAAAATTTCCTACAATCACAGTTCGCTCCGGAATTACGAAAAAGATACGTAATTTTTATAGAATATTTCTCTCCCTGCATTGAAGATTAATTACATATGTCTAAAAACGGCTAATTAGTACGAAAAAAATTATTTTTAATTGTTCGTTTGCCCCGCAGACGCTTAAAATGTTAAAAATAGTCCGGGGCCTCCAATTTTTGAGCTGCAGAAGGTTTTTTTTTTTAAAATATTTGAAAAAATGTGTAGAATAACAATTGCAAATTAGTTTTAGAAATTCGACTCCTTTCAGAAACATTGTTCGGGCTATTTTACATGAATGGTGCAATTTTTTTTATTAAAAAGGAAACAAAATTAGTTATGTAGGAGGTAAATTTAAAAAAATTGATTCGTAATTGTTATTGTACAGATTTTTTTGAAAAAAAAAATCTATGTTGTTCAAAAGCTGGACGCCGCAGACTATATTTTTAACATTTTGAGCATTTGCGAGACGAATGAAAAATAGACAATTATTTTTTTGCACTAATTATTCGTTTTTAGATATATATAATCGTATAATCGATCTTCAATGTACGAGAAATTACATTGCAAAAGCCCACGACTTTTAGAACTTATAGTAGTCTCCCCTTAACCCTAGTCTGGTCACCAAACGCGACCCTGCGACTTGGTCATCTCTGCCGGGAATTGCCGCCGTCTTATCTAGGCTTCAGCGTTGCCGAATTCACTCTACACTGTCCGGGCGCATTTAGCAAGTTTCCGGCAACGTCACATCATGGGCAATTTCATTTAACACGGGAAAAAATTCTTAATTTAATTCTTCTCTTCGAAATGATTTGTTTTTTTAAAGGAATTTTGGGAAATATGTTGTTCTAAAAACTACTATAATTTTTTAGACACTTTAATTGACAAAGTCAAATTTTTTTGAATTTTTCCGGTTGACCAGTCAATTGTAAGGAAAGACAAACGAAGCGCGGCGGGGTTTTCCTCATACGATGACCAATCTAGGGTTAAGCCGACAGAAAGTAATTTCCGAAACGAAAACAACAATTACTTTGAGTTTAGTTCGAAATGTATTTTCTAAAAAGAATCTTGAAAACTGTCAAACTGACACTCGACTGTGCAAAAAATTAATTTGTTAAAATTTCTAAATATTCTAATATTCTATTTTCAGACGGAATTGTTCCAAATTTGGAATTAGTTGGAGAAAATTTGGCCAACAGATGTTAATAATAATATTCATCTTTAATGCAAAAATGAAGTGCTTTAAAGAAAAATCTTCTACGAGAAAAATGGCTAATCCAGATAATGTAGGTCGTCACTTGGATTATCTCAATTCAGCAGTAGATAATCGAATTAGGCAATAAGGTTCTGCTTCAAAAAATCATTGAGTAAATATCAGATTCCCAATGCTCTAATTTCAACACTGATTTGCCTTTCAGATTTCCTCATTTGACTGTAGTTGTGTGTTAATCGTTTCAAGTAGAAAATTCCTCATTTGTTTGAAAAAAAAAGAAAAATAACATTTGTATTTGATCGATCTCGTAAGAGGGTGAACAGTCTAATTATGGAACACTCAAGGCTCTTCGGAGGTTTGGACAATGGTTTGAAAATGAACTATTGTTTGAAAAAATATAAAAAAATACTGGTCGATTTCAAATTCCGTAGGTTTTAGAAAAAAAAAGAAAAACATATTATCTAATGAGAAATAATCGGGAAAAATTAAAAATTATGTTTAAGTCCAAAAGACCTGTTACGGAACACGTTTGCCAAATATGGAACATCGTGCGCTCAATTACGGAACATTAGAATTTTGTGAGACGGTGAAAAATTAGGAACCCGAAATAATAAGGTTATTTTTAGAGAAAAATGTCAACAAGTTCAGATTATAATTGACAATTGGAATTGTGATGTAAATTGTATTATGTAAAGAAATTCTTACAAAATGAGTAATGTCGATCACATGAACACATCACTCGACTTTTTTCGTATATGAATTTGTCAGAACAATTTAACAAAAAATAGAAACATAAACGTCATTATATTTTCAACTTATCAATTATTTACATACTTTCGACTGACTGACTACTCTGGCACGTGCCAAACGAAAACATCAGTGTTCCGCCGATTGGAAATGCCATGAAAACCCAAACCAAATGGCGGAACACCCGTATATTTGTAGGAATAAGAACTTTCGGATAAAATGAATTCACAAAGATGAAAAAATGAAGCTTTTAGGATCAATATTAGTCTGAACTCACGATATTTAATGATTATTAATCCACGTAACTTCGTTCGGCATATTAGTGGTCACATTGTCACATCTAACTACTGACCTGTCGCAAACTGACGGAAAAGGTGGCAGGGTTTATTTCCATTATTGAGCGGGAAACAGCAGATAGACCACTAAATATATTCTCATATCATGGATGGAATCATCGACTTCTATTTTGCCGAATGCGCCAATCCTGAATATGAAAAATGGCCTCAAAATTTTGAAACTTTTTTTCTTTCGTTTCGAAAAATGAATAAAATCCATGAAAATGACTTTCATTTTTACGATTTATTGATTTATTTATCATAACCCAGCCCAGAACTCAATTCAGAGTCGAAGAGATGAACCAAGATGTGTCACTCAAATCCGAAAATTATTTTTTGGGCAATACCTCGAAAGGCATAGTAGATAGAGAGATTTTTGTAATGACCTTGTTTGAAACGCAACTAAAATTCCAGAACATTCTGGTCGACTATCGGCCTACTTCGAAAATCTCCGGGACCCTTCGGGTCATCAGTCATAAGTCACCGAAACACGCGCGAATCAGTTTAGGCTTAGCCTCTCACCGTACAAGTCTATCTCGGGCAAATCACCTGTACAAGTTTTATATCGCACCTCACCGAGTACAGTAGCTTCTTGAACCTCACCTAGCTCACTAGTAATCAAGTACATCACCGGTCTTTGTAAGATCACCGTTTTGTTCAGTACATCACCTCTGTTGATTAAATCCAGTCTAAATTCAGTGACTCAACGAATTTACAGTGAAAGACAATTATCAATTTAATTAGACATTCAACTATTGAAAACCAAAGAGTGTAAATTAATTGACAAGTGGTTCGACCCCACAGAAATATAGTGTGATTATTTTAATCCGGCTACAGTAATTTTCCCAACAACTCCCTCCACATTTTCATCCCACATCCACCCTAAATCTAGTCATTCACCAAACAGACCTTTTTTATAGGCCTCATTCTGCTTTACAAAAAAGATGCCAAAAATGTCTCTATCTCCTTTAGATTTCGAGATATTTTTGAAAAAATAATTTTTTGGGAGGAGAAAATTTTGTTTTTCTCTACATTTCACCTTTGAGTTTATGAAAGCACTAAAAATAAAAAAATGTTTTTGTTAGGAAATTTTCTGAACTTTCCGATGAAAAAATTAAAAAATTAAAAAAGGTTGAGGAACGACCCCAAATGGCCGTTTGATACTTTCTTTTGGAATTTTCTATGCCAAAATACATAGATACATAAAAAACAATATTCTTTTTGAAAAGCTGAGAAAATTTCCGACGAAATCTACCGGTTCAAATGTTTTTTATCGTTATAAGTGACTGGTAATTAGAATGGAAAAAAAAAGTTTTGAGAAGAAAAAAAAATTCAAACTTAAATATCTCCACCCATAATTGAGTTAGAATGTTCCGTTAGTGCTCATTTTTCTTCTTTTGAACTATACTTTTCGAAAAAAAATAGAAAAAAAGTTTTAAAATTTTGGAGCAATTTTTCATATTCAAAATGGGCGGACTCATTAAAAAAAATCGATTCAATAGATAGGTAAATATTCCATAAATCTGGCAAAATATTGGAGTGTTCCGTTAATGGGGGGGATTCCGCAATTGAACTGTTCACCCTACTCCGCACAATGAAAATACTAATTTCCTTACTCCATTCGATCTGCCTGGATCCATCGAGTCTTCATTCATCTGTATAGCTGGCACTGTTGGATCTTGATTACTATTGAATGTCTCCTCAGACTTCATACACTCCGATTCGTTGTCATAACCTTCGTCATTCTCCTGATGTCTCCTATCCATATTTTCGTTGTCCTTCATTACACGACTAACTCCACGTTTCTGTCCGTCAAACCGAGTTTGACGTGTGAACATAGGTGGTGGTATGTGTCTCTGAAAATCCAGAAGAAAAGTGAAATCTCAATTTCTTCCCCAAATAAAATAAAAGAGCAAATAATTTTTAATTGACGTACAATTTGCTCTTTCCCCAATGGCAAGGGTTCTTCAAAACTTTCTTCATGTCCCTCCATAATCATGGGATCATCCTCAACTTCAATCTCCTCCAGCTTGACATCATTAACTGCAGAACTACCAGAGCCCGATTTCGACAAGAACGGAATAGCATGAGCTTTCCTGAACTCCATCTGATGCAGTCTAGTCTCCACCTGGCACGCCTGACCCCGCGACTCAACCCTAGAGTAAACATTGTTGCTTTCACTTCGATGGTCTCCAGAGAGACCGCGAATTTCAAGATCTGTCGCAGTTTTTATCAGAGACGGCAAGTGCTCCTCAGCAACATTTATGGAACCCCGATACATGAAATCTAAGAGACACTCCATTTCCTCGATCGGAACACCTGCAAAAAATTAAAGGTTTTTATCGTGAGCGAAATCTTTCGGAGAGAGAGGAATTTATTTCTATTTTTTTATGTTTATTGCAAACGTCATAAGAGATTCCATCTGGTAAATAATATTGATGGAAAATTGAAGATTTCATTTATAATTATTAAGAATTGAAGATATTTCTTAAACATGGCCCGATTATGGCGTTATGGCGATTTTTTCAATTAAGGATATCCTATTGGTTCAGAAATTTGAGACATCTTTTACTGGGGGAAATCCTCTTCAGAGCTTATAGAATATTTTTTGGTAGGGCTGCCCACGAGACTCAAACGAGACTTCATTTTGGAGGGATCGTCTTGATCTTAGTGATCACGGAAAATTTCGGTATCATCACAGTCTCAAAAGAGGCAGTATCGGCACTTCTTGAGATAACTGACAGTCAATTTATCTCATCTTCGTTTCAAGTTTTTCGCATTTATTATATGTAAAAGACTGAGACGAGACGACCGAGACTGAAACCGAGACTTTGCATTGAAAAAGCATGAGAAACTTGAGACCGATATAAGATAAATTGAATGTGAGTCATCACGAGAAGAGCCGATACTCCCTCTTTTAAGACTGTGACGAGATCAAAAGTTTACGTGTTCACCAAGACCGAGACGATCGCTTCAAAATGAAGTTATGCCATGTTAGGCGCAATATCAGCTTTAGTTTCCGAACTTTTTCGAGAAAACGATTTTTGAAAAAATGAAATTTAACACATTGTCTCCATAAGAGCTGTATATTGCCACCTTCAATCCAATAGTTCATGTATAATTTGTCTTAAAGCGTTTTCTCGTACACGTAACCATATATGACTTTGTTCGTTGTACTCTCTAGTTTTTTTTTGCGACATTAATAGTATGGGAGGGTAGGGCAAAACGGACTAGGCGGGCAAAACGGACCACTGACAGAAAATTGATAATTTTTGTTTTTCTTCCGAATGGAGCAAATTCGAAGTCATTTGTGGTTGGAGGCGATTAGCAAATCTGATCAAATTGCGGTTGAACGGCACTTGTTGTCTACAAAACTCCTGTGACGGTTACGATCCAAGAAATTCACTTTTATTTCAACACATTCAGTGTTTCTGATTTGAAGGAAAGAAAAAAAAAATTACCAATTTTTTGTCAGTGGTCCGTTTTGCCGTCTCAATCCGTTTTGCCCTACCCTCCCCTGTATTAGATCAGAAGGGCATGAATTTCGTTCTCGACGAATGAAGTTTACAGGCCGGGCCGCAGGCGAGGTCTGTACTCACATTCGTTGAAAACGAAATTTATGCCCGAGTGGTCTATACTATTTTATGTTACATCGTGTGATAGTGGAGTTTAGACTTTACTTTAAACTTGACTTATCGTACGATGTGACTTAAAAAAAATAAGTTTCCGGTCAGATAATTAAACAATCAAATTGAAAGCTTCTTGTTTGGTACGATGAAAATATTGGGTGGTTTGAATCTTCGCGTTCTTGGGGTCTGGCAACGGTCCGTTCAAGTGACTACTCGGACCGAATTTACTAGGTTATATGGAACACATGTGCAGTGTTGCCGTGTGATCGTTAGAAGTGAATAGATCAACGAGAGCCAGGTGTGAAAGTGAATAAAATCTTGGTCATACTATTCATTGAAGAAATTCCCGAAAAAATATATTCAACAATGAAAAATCCGACAAAGTATGGGGATGGCAAGATTTTCGACAAAACTGAAATCTTGCTTGAAAAAAAGTTGATAACTTGGGTGAAGTCCTTGGATATTCTGAAAACGATATTATCAGGACAGACGCAAGAGCTCATATATCAGAAGTGGCTTTGATTGTTCATGGATTTAGAAATTTTTTTGAAAAACTCATCCATAATTCAAGTTATGCGAACGGCTTATATCAATGAGATAAAAGCCTTCGATCATTTACTTTTTTTTAAACAGAATATTTCAATTCAGAGTTCTACATAAAAAAATTGAATTTCCATGAAATTCCATTCTCAAACTTATTTGAAAATTCAAGACTGCATGTATGAAAGAATTTTATAGAAAAACCTAACCAATTCGCTAGGCAATTCTGTTGGATTAGAAATTCAATAGAATAAGTTGTATAGAGAAATTAAATTCTATTGCCTTTTTCTACAGAATATTTTCTAAACATTTTAATAGAATTGATTAAAAAACAATAGAAAGTTGTATAAAAATTTTTCTGTAAAATTTTTTCGTGGTTGTATATTTATCAGAATTTATCATATTTCTATTAATTTTTATGGAATAATTACAGTGAAATATGCAGTTTACATTCATATTTTCATCGAATTATAAATTTTAAATGGCGTAATTCCTTGAAATTCCAGCGACACTGTTACTTGATAAAAATTTCTGAGAAGTGTACCAGAAATTTCATTCCGTTGACTGGGAAATTTATGTAAATCAATTATTTTTTTCTGCAAAGGACAATTGAGGATTTCGTTATCAATTGATAATTCAATTTCAAACGCAATTAAGATTATAGATATTGGGAATCAATACGTAGCCGTCGATGAAATTTGAACTTAAAATCGGGCAGTTGATGATTAAGATGAGATTTCACGGGGAGCTTATCTGGAGAGATATTGATAGATGGGAAGGAAATTCCTTTATCGTTTGTAATGTTAAGTGCAAGTCTAATAATGAAGCATTAGTCCCAGGGTAATGTCACAAATGGAAATTGATACTTGGACAATTTATGGAATTCCAATTCTTCCTCTGAATTTTTCATACATTAACCACCCCTCACGTACGGGGTCGATGCATGGTATCGACCCATGCGAATGTGAACGCTTGTTTTCAAAATTGATTATTTCCAAATCTATGTGAACTAACTTGATCAGACAAACAAAATTGGAAACCGGAATACTGTAGCTTCAATTACATACCGGCTTCATAATTTTCCATTCATTAGAAATAATTGAATTCGAGTCGTATTGAGCACATACTACGCTTGATAACAGAAGGGCCTCATCCGCGAGGGATTAATGGACGTTCATGGATTTTTGTATTGATTCTATTCAATTCTCTTCAGGTAATTCAAGTAATGAATAAAACTCATAATGATTGGAATTTCTATCTGACAGAAAAAACTAAATGTAAATTACGTTTAAGAAGTCGTCTTTTACGCTTCCTGAAGTGGATTTTCCGCTTGAAGTTGAAGCGTAAATTATGCTCAAAATCGATGAAAATTACGATGATTTTTTTTGTATTTTACATTCACCTAATTTACCATTTATATAATTAATCCCCCCCGCCCAATTTTTAAGCAAAAAAATTCGCCATCTCCCTTAGTTTCGAAAATATCCTTGAAAAACTGACCGACGAGCTACCCGAGTGGAAATTCCGGTCAGGTATTGATCAAGTTGACGGATCTGATCCTGATCAGACATGTTACGCCTCCGACCAATCCGGATTTGATCAGGACGAATGGATCCGAACTTGATCAAGTCAACTGTATGAAAACTGGATGACTTGTCTGTCAGTATCAATAACAATTATCAATGATAATTAATTCAAAACAAAAAATTATTCAATTCTTTAACCGTAGGCCGCCTCTCTTAATGAATCTCTACCGTTATTACCTCTGAAAAAGCTTATTATTTTTTTACCGATGCTGGGGATCGAACCGGGGACCCTATGATTGCTAATCCTCTGCCCTAACCACTACGCTATCGCGCTATTACTATTGAGTAAACTGTACATTGCTTATATGATTTGTATCGGGGTATTCATTGAATTTACGATTATTCCTGATCTCGCGGATGTGCGTGTGTATTCTCAGAGATAAAATATGTTCAATTAAATTTTTATTTATTTCATTAATGAATAATAATAATGATAATAACAATAACACTAATAAATAAATAGACATTTAGTGATTGTTTTTCTCTAGATCATTTGCGTGTAAGTTTGATACTCCTTTAATACGTATTTACGGCACCATCATCCCTCCCTTCTGTACATTTGAAAAGGGCTGGCTGTTAATTAAATTGATTAATTAAATTAAATTCAGTAAATTAAATTAATTTAATTTAATTTATTTTAATTATAGTATAATGATCCTTTTTAAAGATTGAAAATAATTATTGATAATGGTTGATAAAACTTAATTTGAATAGTATAATAATAGTTGATTAAATTATCCGAAAAACTTAAACTTAATTAAAATTAATGTCAGGTGGAGCGGATCTAAATCTGATCATATTCTCTTCAATTGACCCCTTTCAAATGCCGATCAAGGACATCAAATCCGAATTTGATCAAATTGGGGTCAGGGAGCCGACCTCAGGGTGAGATCGTGCCTACCTGCTCAGAACTTGATCTGAACCCGCCTGTAGTTTTTCGGATCCGATCTGCTGGATCAGAACTTGGTCAGGTTCTCATCAGGAATCACCGGATCAGTCGAACCTTACAAAAACCTGATCAAGTTCTGATCGTACTTCAGGTTTGGCCTGAAGCAATTTCCACTCGGGTAAGTCGATTATGGGAGGGGGTGTAGCGTCTCACCTACAGACGCACACATCTACGCGTTGACCAGGGACACAGACGAAAAGATGATTGACGGGCGAACGAAACTCCCGTGCTGTCTCACTCGCTCTCTATTGTGTCACGCGCATATTTCGGATTAATTCCATCTACGGAATTGGACTGTCTTGCGAATTGAGAAACACCTCAACGAAGCAGTCCGGCACTGACCGCCGAATAATCGGGAGTCACCATCTTCTCCCAGCACTTGTAAATATCTCTAAGACGCATTCAATAATAAACAACAATTTTACATTAATTGTTAGTAGAGGATTGATTCAAGCCTTTCCCAATACACCTCAATCTCTACAGGGGGGGGGACTGTTCATCGAGAATTCAGTACAACCCCCCACCCCTGATGCACCCTGTTCCATACAAAGATCCCCTTGTGTAAACCCTCCCCACTGACGGAGCCCCCCTTACCCAAAATCCTCTGAAATAGGA